TGGAAAACAGCTATCGCATCGGAATGTCTCTTTTTCCAAATCTAAACTCTGACAGACACTCGGACTCTGTCATGTCATTCAGGTTGAAAGTTGAATAACCTTCGTACGGAAAGCAGAGATTTTTCCATTCGAAAAGGTCAGACAACACTAAAAATTCTTCAATCGTCAAAGAAAATAGACGTACGGCTTATAAAATAAGATCTTGCATAGTCTTAAAAGCGCCTTTGCGAAAAAACTTTGTTGCGAACGAACATCACAGTTGTACTACTTCTACATGTTTGTTTACATTCAGTGTCGTCGTCGTCGACCTACCGATCGACTGCATCTTAAGTTTCCTTTTTCCCGCCGAAACTGACGTTCTCGTTCCAGTCCTTTCCCAGTCAACAGACGTCGTCGTCGTGAACTTCGTCGTGGTTCTTAAGTTCCCTATTCCAGCGGACTTCACGACTACGATAGGTGAAGACGGCAAAATGAAACAACTTGCAGCTTGAAGTACAACAGATACAGGTTAAGGTGAGCTTTTCAAAAAAATTGTTCGACGTGTCAAGGCTACCAGCGTTGTAAACGGAAACCTAAAGTCCAATTGTTGGTGGTGGTCGCGTGAATCATGTGTTGGATGGCGTTATTTTATGTTGTCTGTAACAGGAATTTCAAATAATTCCTGAGAAGCTCAAAATGATTTCCCCAAAATAATTTTAACATAACACAATAGTTTGATGCTTATAGTGTTTTCCCCTTCAATCCTGAAAAATTCTGATCAAAGGCACATGATGAAAATCGGCGCTTTTTTCAACCACCTTCTGTGGTTGAACAAAAGGTAGACATACGCTTTAGCTTTTTTATAATTACTCAGACTGTTGTAATGCGAAAAATATTACATATTTTGGTCAACGACGAGCTATACTTACAATTTCAGCAACAAGCTTTTTTTCTAGCGCGGTTGTTTTGAAATGCAAGTCGAGCGAATCATAGTGAATTTCAACCCTGTTTTCGGCTTGCGAAATCGACGGCGGGGCTTGAAACGGTTTTCTTGTTTTTCTCGGAAACGAACAGATCTTTCGAAGAAAAAACTACATGGCGTTTGTACACTTACTAAAGTCTATCAGTATGCAAAAGAAGAGCGATTTTTATTTTTTGAGCCTTGCCGCACTTTGGTCGATATTTGCATGGAGTTGCTCTTAAATGATCCCCAATTCTACCTCAAAATGATACCGACCTCGAAATGATCCCCTTTTCTCTTCACTTTGTCCATGAAATGATCCCCAATTAATTTTAGGAATGAAATGATATCCTCATAGAACTCTGGATCGAGCAAAATAGCCGACATTAATTTGAGTTTCACTATAATAATCTACACTTGTTCGCATTCTTTAATGACATTAATTTGGGATTACACTTTGCGGATTAAAAGAAAATATTATTTACAGACGTAATACACAGAATCTATTATATTTAATAAACACCATGAACTGCAAATGATAACATCAAGAATTTGAAAATATTCCTATGCATAACATTTTCAGCATAATTACGGTACCTACCTACCTAGGTGATTATAGCCCGGGTTATAGAGAAAACTGCATGGATGTTAAATTCTAAACACAATATAGAAACGGCACGCCTTCGATAATGAATTTTAAAACTGGTGTTTTAACACTTCTTAAAATTTTAAAATGCAAAAATAGACATAAAGGCGTTTGGATGACAAAAGCGCCAAAAAGTTACATTAACCCCTGTTGTGTAATGTTAAGTGCGATTCAAGAACGTAAACGCCGTAGCCCGACTGTGTACAGATCCCTCTCCCCTCAGGAAAAATCGGAGAAGGGGCTTCTGTGATTCACCGCCACTAAGGCGTGTATGGGAATAATTATGCATAAATTTAACAAAAAGTAGTTTCCGCCGACCAAAATTTTCGTGGCTCACGCTTTGATTGGTCAGTTATCTTTTCCTCTTGTTCCAAATATCTTACTTTCGAAAGTGAATAATCGCGATCATCAGACAAAACAAACATATTAGAGTTACACGTTTCAACCCCTTATGAGTTTCAGTGTAGCTTACTACGTGCGTTACTTATTTTAGTTGTCCAAACTGAAAGGTTGTACGCAGACTAAAGCAGAACAGAGCACTAAACTTTCAGGACTCTGTTTATCATGATAGCTGTGTCTTTTGGTCTTTGGCTTCCAAGCCCCGTATTTTTTTCTATTTACACCTTGTGTGATCAAATCACCTGTATCTACGCCTCTTATGGTTGATTTCCACTGACGCGTTTTTGGCTCTCTACGCACGTTAACGGACGTAAATTTTAAGCACGTAAATAAAATAGAGGCAAGATATAGACTGCTGAAATTAAACGAGAAGTTGAGGGAGGTGTAACTTTTACACTTACGAGCGACCTTTCATGCATTGCCTTTATCTTATTTGCTAACGTAAATTTTACGCACGTACGCACGTAAAAATTACGCGCCCTTAAGGTAAATTTTTCCACTGACGCGTAACTTTGACGTGAGTACGTGCGTCAAATTATCGGGGAAGGGGGGGGGGGGGGGGTACTACCTATAATGGCCTATATTGGGAGGCTCCGCCCGAAAGGGGGTGCCTTTTTCAGGATTCAGGTATAAGAAAGGGTAGGGATTTTTCTCGTTGAAGTATATGAAAGGGTAGGGAAATCTGTTATTTTTAATTGGGTCTATGAAAGGGCCTAAAAGGGCAAACAGATGAACTTTATGGCTTTATAAAGGCGAGAAAACGTTCCGTTTTTGCGATTGATTCCTATTTAAACTAGAGTCCGAGCATTTAAGAGGGATGCAAAGGGATGCAAAGTTCTAAACAAGGTATGTGAAAGGAGTTCCATTTGTCAATAGAAGGTATGCGAAAGGAGTACCTTTTTCGTGAAAAATGGTATATAAAAGGGAGCCTCCCCGTATAAAAATTTGTTGAGTACCCCTCCCCCCCGTAAAATTTACGTTCGAAAATAAAAGAGAGGAAATTAATGCATGAAAGATTGCGCGTAAAAGTAAAAGTTGAACCTCGCTCAACTTCACGTTTAAAGCGAAACAGTTCATAGCTTGTCTCTACTTCATTTACGCGAGTAAAAAGTACTTGCATATACACGCACCCTAAAGTACTATACCTTCTAGCAATTTTTCTCTCGAGCGATTTTGAAAACATCTTTATCGTTGTGGCAAGCTCAATATTTTTTACAATATAAATTCTTCTAGAACTATAGGCCTAAAATTTCTTTTTTCTACACCTGACGACTAAAGTTTCGGCTCTTTAGTTTCGGCGAAAGATTGAGATATAACATGCCAAGAGAGAATGAGCTAAGAGAGCGAATCCCTATGCTCCATGATAATTTTGTTAAATCTATTTAAAGTTCGGGCGCGTGTTGCAAAGGTTATTTTTGTCTGTTGTTTCCGTGACCCGCGTGGTCTACTTTCATGTGAACGTGACATGTTTCGCCGCCAAACATTTGGAGTTTGACAGCCATTATAGTAATTAGCGCCCGGGAGCCGATACTAATCGGCTCCTATTGTTGACATGTTTTTGATCAGCGCTTTCCTCTCATTTTCATGAGCAATCAAGGGATTGCAGTATTGGATTCAAAATCTCACTTTGAGATTAAAGATTGAGATTTCCTAACGGCTGGTAGCTGGTAGCCTCATTTAAAGAAAAGAATATTGAATTCTGACACACTGTGAAAGTCGGAGGCAAAGGTTATCACCCGCGAAACAAACACAAATCAGGTCAGATGCTTCAAGCTCCTAAACAGTCGCTAACCTGGATGCCAGAGAGTTTTGATGCGCGGTCTCCGGTTTCGGTCAATTCTTAATAGTGAGCGGTGTGCCCACATTTTTCTTGCGTCCTCGCAAAATTCAAATTTTTGGCGGCCAAACATTCACGTTTGAACCCACTTTGAACCTATTTTCTCGTTACGTGTCCACGGTTGGATCCAAACGACGGTATCACAGCTCGCGGGTGTGCGTGGATGTCGCCGGAAGAGTCAGTTGTCGTTTTAATACAGTAGGTTGTTGGTTGTTTATACTGATGTAGCGAAGACCACAATGAGCAGTTTTGGTGGAGTCGGAACCGCTTTCTCTGGCAAACTCCTAGAAGCCAGGACCGTTTTGCTCTTCGGCAGCAACTCTGGCCAGATTATTCCACGTAGAAATCTTTTGACTCGTCGTCGAAAGTAATGCCAAGTTTGCATGTCCTATCGCTTGGTGTGCGTGATCGATAGTGAAATGAATTACCCGCCAAGTTTAAGATTACATGACGCCACTCTAACCGACCAATAAGGTGGCGTCCTTAAAATAACCACGCAGTATGACACAGAACCAAGAATAGATTGAAAATAATTTTCATGGGAAGAGGGTCATGTATGGGGGATTCGCTCTCTTAGATCATTCTCTCTTGAACATGCATAACATGCAAGTGTAAAATGACTAACAAAGGGAATTGTGTGCTATAGCTAGCACTACAGCTATTGTTACATGCAGTATTTCCGCATTCGAATCACTCCTTATTCTAACTGCCAACACCGAAACAAGCAAAAACGCACTTCGTATTAGCGGATTTGTCCATCGGCTTCATCCAGAAAGCGATCAAAATAGTTGATCTACAACTATCGGAAATAAATTTTTATTTTCTACACCTGACGACTAAATTTTTGGCTCTTGACCCCATTACTACCCTCAAAAAAAGATTTATGGTTTCAATGTTCATTTCATCTTTTACCCGCGGGCGTTCTGAATATTCTCTTCATTCCGCACATTCTTATTCTCATGCATGGCCGCTTTCGATTCAGTTAGAGGACACAAACAAAGAAGATTAAGACACATGTTTATTCATTTTATTAATAAATCGAAAGTGTTCTGACTAATATCTGTTGTACACGAACTGGTTAAAAACACCGCGCCAGTAACAAACCTAGAGTTTGAAGCATGTCTGCAATTATATCAGCTGTATTTAAAGCCACCATCGGCTTGATTGTGGATAAAGGAAGAGATGTAGCTGCGGAGAGGATGAAAGAAGGTGACGTGACTGATCAGAAATTTCGCAGCCTGATCGTGCGTGATTTGAAAGAGATCGAAAACAAGTTGGATGCGTTATCACAAAAGGACCTTAAGGCAGCTGTAGACTTCTTTGAAACAGGACTCGGATGTCTTTACAGGGTATTCGATGCAATGCACAGTGCTAATGTTAGTTTGGGAGCAGCGAAGGTATCTGAAAAAAATGAAGAAGAGGACTTAAAAGAAATAACTTTGCCCTCAGACGCTGACCCTGAAAAGACAATAGTACTTGCAGACGGAATCAGAAACATGCAACTAACTGAGTTGGATGAAACAACGACAAGCCTGCTTTCTGACGCACAAGAGAAATTCAGATTAGCTGTTGAAAACGCGACACGCGCCTGCAACAATGAATCCCTCATCACGTTTGACCGAATCACAGCCATTCGATATCGTGTTATGGCGGCAATGTTAAAGTCAGCAGCTGAGACAGTGAGATCCACTGGCGACTTGAAAAGTACTTTGCAGAAAGCATTACCAGAGTGCGAACAGTGCCTGAAGAAACTCAATTCGTTACCAGCTGTTCAGAACAGCTTTAAATCCGAACTCAGTCAAGGTTTCCTAAACATCAGAGGTCGATTTGGTAAAGATGAACGGATGCAGATAATTTCCACTGTATGTCAGGTAAATCGTACCGTCTACGATGCCATGCGAACGGCTGGCAAAACTGAGGACGTACATGTCTTGAAGTGGCCATATGTTGACACCGGAGAAGATCAAGTTGACCCTCTGCGCGATGTAAGAGTGTTACGAGTGTTGGAGAAATCAGAGAAAGTTGACATGGAGCACTACTGCATAAATTCGGGGTGGTCGTTTGATGTGAAATTAGGTGGTGATCTGAATATCCTACGAACGAACACCCTGGGACAGTTTCTGATTGCAAACAATTGGGAGGCAACCGTGCATGTTTATGATAAAAATGGTATGTTTCAGTTTAGTTTTAATCCCCAAACTGATGATGCTAAAAGAAAGATTCAAATTGCTGATCTCGTCACTGAAGACGTTAGCGAGAAGATCTATTTACTCATCGGACTGTACAATGAAGAGTCATTTGAAGTGCAGGTTTTAAACAAAACCGCTGACCTACAATACAAGATTCCTGTGAGAGGCGGGTGGAGACTGATAGTTAGCGGCAGCAAACTAGTAATATTGGGATTATGGGAGGCTCATGTGTACAATCAGAATGGTGAGTTTGAGCGTAGTTTTGAGTTTTTCAAGAGTGAAGGCGACAAGTATTTAGCTGCTTGCACTGCTACTCACGATGGCCGCATCATGATAACGCACTATAAAGGAGACTACAGCGATTACCACTGTGTTCATGTATTCACAATGGAGGGAAAGGAGATTGCAAAATTCAGATCTGGCGTCGGATTAAACTTAAACTATATGTACTTATCACCTCGCTCTGCAGGTGAACATGTTGTCATCGCTGGTTACAATAAAGAGGACGGGATCATAACAGTGGAGTTATACACTGTGGATGGAAAACTTGTGCGAAGAATTCTGTTACGTGAGGAACCTAAACTTTATTTTGAAGCAATTACGGTGACCTTGGAGGGACACATTGCTGTGTGTTTTGATCTTGATGGTAACAATAAAAAGGTAGTTGTCATCAAAAACTAAAAGACGCTGCTTTTTGGCTTGACAAATATTGTGTGGAATTTCATACAAAACACTAACAACACTAACAAGCTTTTTCTTTTCAAAAAAATTATATCTCTATATATTTTATGAAATCTGTTTAAGCACAGGTTAACACTGTTAATTATTACTTTCGTAATTGTTAAAAAACTTAATACTGTTGTTTAAGTTTCGTCCCGGCAAAAAAGTACAAAACCAAAGACGTTTTAATCTTTAGAAGCCTTTAAAATTTCAAACGATATAGTATTATTTTAGTCATCCGCTGGAATTTTTGCTTAGAAAAGAACTGGAAAATGGCCTGTCTACCAAAATCCGTTGAGCAAATCAAGCATTTAAAGAGATTTTTTTCTTAGCCGACAAAATTCTTTTTTCCTTGACAACTGCCCTTCGTTGGCTCATCCGATTTCGCGAACAGCAATAATTATTATTCCTGTAAGGCGTGTCTCAGATGTAAGCAAAGTCGCAAAATCGAAAAATTAGTGATTACCGGTAAAAAATTTTCCAATTGTTTGCAAACGCCAAAGTCTATTTTTCGTCATAGTGCAAACAGGGGCCCAATACTCGCTCTTAGATGAAAAACTTAACCGCTTAGGTTGTTCATTTAACTGCGACGATCACATCCGCTTTCATATCCGGATGAAGCCGGACGTGAACTTAAATGTGTTTTTAGAACATATGCAGCTGTACCTAAATGTTGGTCAGATTAATTTGTATAATGAATCACTTCCAGTAAGCTTGACTTTGTTTCTTGGGAAAACAAGAAAAGTCGTGGATGAGACCGTCGTGACTACCTACGCCCTAAGGCTTAGCATTCTTAAACAACCATTTTAACGCCTAGCCGAGGTTGTTTACAATAGGTCAAACATTTTGAGCTCGGAGGTATGATTTCCATGCTCTGCTATATTAACACCATGATCATTAGATATATTCAAGTTTTCTTGGGGAAAGATACCTCATAAAGTTACTTCAGCAGACTCCTGCTTGAAAGGACTGATTTTGAGCTACAACCGCTTTTATCATTCATCCAAAATATGCGCCCTTTTCTGATTGGCGCAAAGGCCAACTGGTACTTACCATATTTGGATGATGCGAGTAATATACCATCGATTCGATGGTACATTTCTTTGGAAACGAGGTTGATCGATGGTACATTGGATTGGAAACGAGGCCGCATGGGAAATAGACCATCGATCAAACTCTCTTCCACGCGCGGCCGACTGGCTATTATTCACGAGTGAAATAAAAAATGGCGTTCACGGCTATCCGAAGATGAAGTAGCTGAATTTCTGACTAAAACTGCACGGGATAAATGCAAAAATACGCAAAATATATCCCTTGTGGATAACATCCTCCTCGATCTGCATAATTCTTTACATCCTACTCAGCCTCATTCAATAATTGCTAAATGTGTAACAACCGAACACTCTTAAACAGCTCTGGTGTGTTGTCTCGCCTTAGCTCGCTGGTAATTGAATAACATAGTAATTTTCTGTTTCCCCCAGTTTGATTTTCTCTCTAATATTGCATTTTCTATGTGATGTGTAATTAGTACAATAAGTGTATTCCTTTCTTACAAAACTAACGTTAGAGGTTTATAACACTAAAATACTAAACAAATCAGATCGGAGGTGAATAACATGCATATTATCTTGATATTTCGTGAAGAGTTGATTTAATGTAAGACAAGAGCTCTTCGCTCGCATTTGAATTAGTGATGTAAAATTTACTTTATGAATCTTAATGATCATGTACCTGTAAAATTATAGGTAAATTTAGTGATTTTTGTAAAAAAGAAAACAATAATAATAATGACAATATAGAGTTACAGGAACTTTAACACGTTCATTCTTATATAGCCCCAATTTTTTTTGTAATTACACATTTTTGTATAATTCACCCCTGTATTTAGCCTGCGTAGCAGGCGCTTGTAAGTAGTAGGCGAAAGAGAGAAAGGGTGCACGCGAGGGGTGAGTCTCCTTCTCGCGCGCCCGTTTTTTCTTGCGCCCACTACTTCCAAGCGCCTGCTACGCGGGCTACCCTGTATTCATTATTTAGTTCTGGTGAATTTTTGTTACAATCAAATAAGTACTGTACCTTACCTTTATTGTAAACAGACCAATACCTCCGTTTGAAGAGGCAATAAAGATTTAGTTTCTCTGTTAAAAGCGTTGCCTACATACCTGCATAACATACCTGACAAGATCGAGAAGGACATGATTTGCACAGTACACTCGGGTCCACACCAACATGCACCACTTGAACAAATTAAAGTACGCAGTAACATGAACCAGCCTTGGATAAGAAAGCAAATCAGAATAACCATGCAGGGATAAAAAAAATATAAGAATCTGAAAAGGGCACGTCAGCTAAATGATCCACTACTATGGGATGATTATAAAAGACTTGGAAAAAAAGTATCAACAATGACAAAAAAGCCAAAGCCGATTCATTACGCCAATCTATTCGATGAAGTAAAATCCGCTGCTGCTTACTGGAGACTACTTAAAAAGACATCAGGAACATCAAAAGTAAACAGACAAGCCAACCAATTAAAGAAGGACGGTGGAACCCTTACAACAGATAACACTGAAAAGCTTAAGGCAACTTTGTTAAACGAATATTTCTGCACAATTGTTGAAAAATTGATTGGCCCCGCGGATGAAATTCAGTCATTTACTCGCTTATAGCCGCGAGAATGTGGATACGCCGATTATGACCCGGCAGCATCACGATCAGTGAGTAGGAAATCGAGGAAAAGATCTGTAAGTTAAAAATGAAGAACCAAGAAGTAACTTGCAATCCATAGGTAAAAACCCGTCTTTCCGCCGTAGATAGTAGCACTTGAGTCTTCCAAATTTGCCTACAGCAACTTGATACATTTAGACTCCTTCCAGAATACACGTGGTCCGAAAAAGAAAAGGCTAACAGCAAGAAAATAGCTAAAACCCAGGAGCGGCAAGAGACACGCCCACACTTCATTACTATGCGCCCACCCTTTTGATAACAAGTTGTCCTGGTCACATTATGCTGCAAACGTAGCGAAGTCCTTCACATCCAAGTTAAGTCTACTCCGACGCATGCGATTCCTCCCTAAGAAGCAATTAGAAGATTTCTACGCAAAAGTGATACTGTCATCAGTTACATACGGTCTGACAGTGTGGGGATCGTGCAACAAGACGCACCTAAACAAACTGGAGAAACTCCATGCAAGGGCTGGACGGATTGTATATGGGTTGCCATGGGACAGCAGCGCTGAAGATGTCTTAATGAAAACTGGATGGGACAGCCTGGAAACAATGCAAAAACTGCGATTAACGGAGTTTATCCTCAAGTGTTTAAAAGGTTAAACCGTCACGGAATTTAAAGATTTGTTTCTACAGAGGAATTCAGGCCGCAGAAGAAATGAGAACATTGACCGGCATTTCTTCCAAGACCAGAAACAAATTTTATCAGTTACTCCATACACTTTAGAGGAGCAATCGCATTGATCACTTTAACGAACAAGGAAACAAGGGCGAAAACCCTGAAAGAATTCAAACGCTGTCGTTTTGTAAAATTTGATACTGATAAAATGACTTTCGAACCAATTTTAGCTACAATTAAAAATAAAGATATCGGTTACGAATACTTTTAACAGTTTTAATTGTCAATTGTACATTTTCACAACATATTTTAGCTACAACTAAAACTGAAATATCGGTTACAAACATTTTTAACTGTTTTTGATTTTTAATCGTACATTTGCTTTCAGTACTCCTTATTTTTCTTGTAATTGTTGTATGCACGACCCCACCAGCAATGCTGACCTTTTTATCGTGCTAAAATCAAGTTCTTATCTTATTAAGCCGACCATTTAACTCTTGAGGGGGGGGGGGATTTTGAAAAAAAATTTTCTGCAAGCGCTTGTCGGAAGAAAAAAATTGCATGCAGCACAAATGTAATAGAGAGCTTATGGGAAAAAAAAAGGAAAAAAATATCCTGCCCACCATATTGCTAGGAAAATAAATTCTTGATGACCAGAAATCACCCACCCCCACCCTCAAGAGTTAAATGGTCGGCCCCTAACTTATCAAGTTCTGTATTTTTTTTTTCAGCTGTGAGATACATTAAGAAACAATTGAGGCGCTAATGGCCCCCCTCGGGGGCACCCAACGTCAATTTTCGGAAAATATCTGTTCGGAAGACGATTTGAGATATAGAATTTTCGGAATATTTGTTGTAAAATTTCTTGCTGGCCTGCCTCTCCTAGGATTTTCGAATATCTAAAAAATGGTATAATTGCCAATTTTTAACGGATTTTTGCCCTTAAAAAGTCACCTAGAAGTTTCGGGAGCCTTTTTTCTGGGTGAAATTTTCGGAATTTTCGGTTCACTAGACTTTGGGCTTGGAAATCCGAACAGATGAAAAATTTTTAGTGGATAAAAATATGCATATCTACCGTTTAAATACTATAATACGTTCAACAATGCTATGTTTAAGTGTTTTTTAACTATATTCTCGTTGGGTGCCCCTGCCGGCTGCCTTTTTCTATACGAGTCGACCTCAGTCAGTTGATATACCTTAGTTTTTTTCTTTCCGGCGATAACTCTTACGAAGTTAGCGTGAATGGTCTGAATGTTCGACGTCTCCTCTAGTCGCACTACCGTAAGGCGGGATGTTACTAAAACGAGGAACGGGGAACGGGGAAAAATAAAATGAAAAATGAGACAACCTCGCCCTGGAAGTGGTCCTGACTGCGCACTTGTCAGCGCCAGTTTTAACATCTGCTTGGAACTTCGTTGAAGAGCTACGCCTTAACCAGGGGCATCCAACGAGAATATAGTTCAAAACCACTTAAACATAGCATTGTTAAACGTATTTTAGTATTTTTAAAAACGGTAGATATAGGCATATTTTTATCCCCCCAAAATTTTTCATCTGTTCGGATTTCCTAGCTGAAAGTCTAGTGAGCCCGCGAAAATTATAGGGATCAAAACTTACATTTCGGAAAATTTCAGCCAGAAAAAGGGCTCCCGAAAATTCTAGGTGATCTTTTGTGGGTAAAAATCTGTTAAAAATTTGCGATTATACACGATGATTAGATTTCGAAAATCCTAGGAGAGGTAGACAAGCAAGAAATTTTACGACAAATGCTCCGCAAATTCTCTCTAGATATCAAATCGTCTTCCGAACAGATATTTTTCCGAAAATTTACGTTGGGTGCCCCTGCTTAACCGGCATACCAGCATCATTTTTAGCCCGTCCCCCAGTTATAATTAAAGTCAGATCATTCTGCGTTTCTGGGAAACTGCCCATGTTGGCTGAACTAAGGGAAAATGAAAGGATGAGTTCCAAAACACATGAAAGCAAACTGTGAGCGTGTGTTGTGGTATAGGTAAAAAGTACTTTTTCAGCCCTCCGTACACCACATAGGTAGAGCCTAAACTTTTACCCTGCTGACCAAAAAGCCCGAAGACCTGGCAAAATCTTGCGGGTCACGGACCGTTGTCACGCAAGCTTCAAATTTTGGTTTTCCGGCCAAGACTCTTAGTTATAGCTGATGACTGCGTTGTCAATCATTCCTTGGCGAGGATCAAGTAAACAGCTTTTGAAGGTAACTGTGATCAGGCGTTTTGGTTTGGGAATTTCGAAGATGATGCGAAAAGACGAAGTCGCGGCCATGCGAATTGATTACAAAACGCCTGTGTTTGACGAGAGCGGTCTCGTGGCGAAAGAACCGTTTATGCAATTCGACTGTTGGTTTAAAGAAGCTACAACAGCAGAAGGTATTGGGGAAGCAAATGCAATGGTTCTTTCTACATGTGGAAGGTAAGTTACATCCTTTTGGGTAAAGAGGGAAAACGTCTGACAGAAGCAACATGAGAAATGCCGGTGTTAGAAGCAAAGATGAGGTTAATGAGAAAAGCTTGCATGTTACAAGTTCGAAAAGTTGTTATTTGTGAGTTAACCAACAATCCTAGTCAAACGTATGCCAAAACCATCAAAATGTTTTATTCGTAGGTAATCATGTATGTGTAGAGTTGTATTGTCGCGTTAAATTTGTCGCTGATACGGTTTGTTGATTGATTATGTAATCATCCAAGAATTGGCCACGCTTGAAGAGTTTTACATACTGCCAGAATTATTCAAGGACTATTAAACCAAGTTCGACATGTATTGCGTGGCCATGGCACATAAGTTCATCAGATTTCCTAGTTTGTGAGCAAGCTCTTCGGAAAGCTTGCTCGCAGACTACAGATTTCCATATTTTTCTATGTAGGGACTTTGTTGAGTCTTTGAATTTGTAGTTTAAAATATGTAACCAAGCTTTCACGAAGCTGTTTGCAGGTGGCTGTAATAATACTTGTATTGCCTATGATATACAAGGCATTGTCTACGAAAGACTGAAAAAATAAGCGTCATGCAAAGTTCTGACATTTTGGATCACTCTGAGCAGCCCAGCTACATCCTGTCAATTTGTGGGGGAAAGACAAGAGTAGATGCTGGCCAGCTGCTGATCAATGATTGATGGCATTGTAAAACATAAACTTTCTCTCCAGCTAGTGCATGATGGTGGTCACTCGTCAGGGAGGGACTTAAATTCAGGGTCCCCAACCAACCATGTTGCTCATCTTTCCCTTGTCTCTGTTACAGACTGTATGTCATCAGCTTATCCACATTCTCCCCTCTCTCAAGGGGCCTATTGACAGCTGTAGGTCCAAGAAAGGATCCAGAAAATTCAGAAAGGGGTGGTTAGGACACTTGCCCACTTGCCAGCTATATAGATACTTTTTATTTTTCCGAGAATTCTATTAAAATGATACAAAATTTCAAAGAAAAAGGGGTGGCTGCGGCCCCTCGGCCAGGTCCCCTAAATCCGCCCTGGAGGTCATAGGAAGCCTGGGGAGAGGGAAAGAAAAGAGTGCGTAGGGGACAATAGGAAGAGAAAAATTAAGATGAAATCCATCAGCAAATTAAGTAATTTTAATTTTCAGTAGACAAAAACCTTGTACCAGAATAATTTAAGCAATATTATTGCATTTTTTTTTTTACATTTTTCAAGAGCTATAGATGTAATTAGATATCTGTATAATAACACCAAAGAAAATTTCTTATGAGAGCCCGAGCAAATAAATGTCAAATTTCACAAAATGACATCTTACACATGAAATTTTCAGAATTTTGTCTGAGTTTTCACAATTCTTGTGAAATTTGACATTTATTTTCTTAGGCTCCCATGAGAATTAATAGTCTTTGGTGTTATTACAGATAACTAATATTATATTAATAGCCCTTGAAAAATGTAAAAAAGAATGTAATATTTTTAAAATTATTCTGGTACAAGGTCTTAATAGACAAAGACAGGCCTTTTCCCTCTTCACATTGTCCACCACACAATTGCTATTTTTTGATTACTGCTATTTTTATTGGAATACCCAGTGGGTGCCTCTGTGGAAGAGAGAGTATCCCCATCTTCTCCCTATATCTCATACATGTAGCTGGTTAACATGTGATTCATAAAGACTGCATAATTATGAATGACTGCATCATTTTTTTACACTCTTTCAGAGACTGCCGGCCAAGGGCAAGAGTTGTTTTGCTTAAAGGATACGACAAGACAGGATTCACATTTTTTACCAATTATGAAAGCAAGAAGGGTGAGCAGTTGGTGAGTATTGAAACCATGATAAGTTGAAGTGCTTGTTTTATACAGTAAGCTACCTACTATTCTTGAGTCAAAAACAACAAATTTTCGTTGTGAGGTTCCAGGTTGTAAAATAGCTGACCATAATTATGTGACCTGGAAAGTGTAAACAGACACTTAGGGTTTTCCCTTCAACAGGCAGGAAAGAAATGGATCGATGTAAACAAAATTTTTCATTAAACAGTAAAGTGTTAGTGTCCATTTTTGCTGTCCAGGTGACTTACATGTGTACTGGAGGATGTCACAAGATTTGAATTTTCGTTTTTCTCAAAATATTTGGTTTGAGTTTATTATTTACCTAAATAAATTTGTTTTAAAAAATGCCCCATGCTTAAGGCTCAAATTTTCCTGGAAGGTGTATGTATGTATATTAAAAAGAGTAAAAGCAGTGAAAAAAGGTAAAAAAAAACTGTAAATGTAATATTAAAAAGGGTCAGAAAATATATGTATATATAAAAATGGGAAAGCCATCTAAGCCAGCATAACCTTCCTTTATAAAATTACAATAGTTCTGTTTGAATGCAGTTGTGAAAAGTTGAGCCCGAAAAAATTCATGCAGGCTTGCTAGGATTCTACCCTGACCTCATCAATGTTCCACAGTGCATCGCTTTAACCTGTTGAACTAGCAAGCCAACAGCTGGGAGCTGGTCATTAAATTGGTTTGTATTAATAAACAATTATACCAGGGAAAGAAGGGAAAGATGAAGATTAAATAATGAATATATGAATTTCATCACTGGAACTGTAGAACGCATCCGACTTGTAGTGAAAGATGCAACTTATGCAGTTGCAAAAAGAAATCTTTCCCCGGTATAATAGACCTTTTTACCGATACGGCGGCCATATTGAATTAATTCAATTTAAGGAGTATTATAGGATGCCCAGGGGGCATGAGCACATTTCGTTTGTATTTTTTAGCACTTTTCGGAACATTTTTTCTGAAAGTTTTCTTAGAATAAGATTGTAATGGGAAAAAAGATCCTTTTGCCGTGTTTTAATGTAATAATGATCGCCTTTTTCCCGAGAAATATACATTGAAAGACCATATTTTTATTACTAAACTAGAAAAAGGCGATCATTATTACATCCAAACACGGTACAGGGATCTTTTTTCCCATTACAATCTTATTCTAAGAAAACTTTAAGAAAAAATGTTCCGAAAAGCGCTTGAAAATACAAACGAAATGTGCTCATGCCCCCTGGGCATCCTGTAATACTCCTTAAATCGAATTAATTCAATATGGCCGCCGTATCAGTAAAAAGGTCATATTATTACAAACTAATTTAATGAATAGCTTTAGTTGGTTTAGTACATATATAGCTCCATTGGTTACTGAGCACTGCACTAGCATTGCAGAAGTCAGGATTTGAATCCCAGCAAGTTTGAATATTTATTTTCAGCCTTTTTTTTTCAACTGCTTAAGTTGCATCATCTTTTCATTATTTTCTTCATTCTGCTGTGAGTCCCAATAAGTGAAATTCATATTAATAAAAACTATTCATTATTTCTTGTTAATATCCTATCCATTTACTGACTTGTTACAGAAGGAAAACCCCTATGCCTGCTTATTGTTTTACTGGCATCCATTGCATCGACAGGTATTCTATTATTCTGTGTAATATTATTTTAATAAGAATGTGTGGTGCATGCAAAATTTACTACACTGTTCACAGGCTTTCTATTGATTTTCTTAATGGAAACTATTAAAAACAGAAAGTACAAGAGTGATTGCAGTGAAATAAAGGGGCCACTGAGGGCGTAGCGGCCTTAAAGCTATAAAGCCTGGGCTTAACAAAAAGTTGGGTTAAAATAAGCTTATGTAATTACTTGGCTACTGTAATTAACAATTATTCTATGAGTGCGCGTTGGATATAAGATGGTAGATAGCCAACAAGGTGCGCAGCGCCCAGTTGGCTATAATCATCCCATATCCAACAAGCACAAGTGGAATAATTGTTTTATTAAAATATACCTGCCAAGTGTCATGCCAAAGGTGTGACTGTCACGGCTGCAGATCGAAAACTTCAATCCCATACGTACTCACACCTGTCCTCCAGTTTCTCATGCCTGGTAGAAATGTTTGAGCCATTACAGCATTAACTGACATATTTCAAAAAATGTAATATTAATTATTAACTGGAACCTCGCGCATGAGGGAAAAGGTAAGTCCATGTGAATGATGGACTTTCTCTGAATTCTATCATTTTAGCAAGGAAAGTCACTGAAGATGAGGTCGTTTTCCTGCCTGTTCCTATGTTCATTATGTTAGATGGAACTCTTCGGAAAGCCTTTGAAACGTCTTCAGACCCCTATGAAAAATCCTGGCAGTCTCTCAGGATAAAAATGTCACATCTATAAATTTTAAAAAAGTTGGCAGGTGTATTAAAAACACCCACAAAATATCGAGAATTCTTGCCGACTTTATTTGTAATAACAACTGGGCCAAGTTGTTTAAAGCTGGGTTAAGATAACCCAGGGTAAGTGCGACGTTTGCATTCAGATTTGAAAGCTTAAAAAGCATTTCATTTTTAATTCTTTTTGTCTACAAGTTGATGATTGGAAGCTCTAAAAATAACAGGGAAAATTATCCGAGAAGATGCTTTTGAACGTACAATGAAGCGCTAATCGGCCTTCAAACAACTGGGCCCTGGTTTTCAGCTTGTTTTTACTTTGAGCAGATGCATACAGTTACCACACATGTACTAATTGAGAGTATGGTATATTGGCTCATATACCATGATGGCTAAGCCAATCAGAGCCTTAGAATTGAACTTGGCTTGCTACTATGTTTTATGTCTCTTATATGAGTAACAATAAGCTGAGGGACTTCAGCCAATCAGAAAGAGGGAAATATTTTGGTTGCATAACAATACATGTCGTTACATTCTATGTATGTATACTAAAATACTTTTTTATGTTAGTTTTCATTTTTATTCCTATCACCAGTTTGTATCTCTCATTCCTTCCTTTTTAGGTGAGAGTGGAAGGGCGAGTTGAAAAACTGTCTAATGAAGAAAGTGAACAGTATTTTCACTCTCGTCCTCGGCCCAGTCAAATAGGAGCAATAGTCAGTAAACAGAGCTCAGTTATCGAGAATAGACAGGTATGACCTCAGTGAAGTTTCAAGTGTTCCATTAGCTAAGGTACTCCTGTTTAGTTTGCAATTATTTTGAATTTGTCAGAGAACAAAATGAATTTGCATATGTAAGGAGAATCCATATGTTACCGTAAAATTCCAAAATTAATAAGCCCCTCCATGTATAAGCCCCCGAAGTCATAACACAAAATACAACTGTTCCCTCCTTTAAATCGCCCCTCCAAATATAAGCCCACCGGGGGCTTGTACTTGGAAATTGCCCTCAAATACAAAGTAAAACAAAGCAAAAACAGTAAATTTCCTTCCAACTATAAGGCTAGCCCAATCGATTTTGAAACGCAAATTTTCCTCCGTAGATAAGCCCCTCCGAATATAAGCCCCTCCAAAAATAAGCCCCTCAAAAAGGTCCTTTGAAAAATATAAGCCCCGTGGCTTACGTTCAGAATTATATGGTATGTCCCCTTATCGGAGACCCAGTGAAAGGCAGCCAGGCTGGGAGAAAACTTTTGTTGTGCCATTTCTTCTGAAGGGGATCATGCTGCTGCAATTGCCCATGGGGTGCTGGGGATGGTGTTTGCCTCAAACAACACCTCAAAAATTATCACCCTTAATAAAAAACATTATGAACAGAGACAGGAATAATTATTTGCACCTTCCTACAATAGTAATATTTCACAGTACATGATGTACACCTGTATGTGCTACTGTATGTATAAGTAGATTGTTCCATGTTGATGTTTTTAATAAAAGGTTTTTTTTAAAATTTCTGTAGGCTTTGGAAGAAATGGAGAATCAACTTAAGCAAGAATATGCTGATGAAGGAAAACCAATTCCTAAGCCTGAAAATTGGTGGGTGATACATATTTTATAGAATTTCTATTCAAATGTTCTTAAATCATAGCCCAAAAGAAATTCTGAATGGCATTTTTTGGGGGTTAATTTTTGGCCCCATTCAATCATCCCTGTCACTTGAAATCTGGAGTACCCCCCCGCCCCGAGATACATTAATTAATCAGAATTCGGTTCATCTTGCTTCCTCACAAAACTATGCCATAGGCTTTTCCTCTGTTGTTTCAACTGAGTGTTCTTCGTGATAACAATCCTGTGAAATATTACATGTCCCTGTGTTCTATTTATTTCAGGGGTGGGTTCAAAGTTATCCCAGATCAAGTGGAATTCTGGCAAGGGCATTCCAACAGACTTCATGACAGATTTGTGTTCCGTAAACCTGGAGTGGATGAAGTTCTTGATGAGAATTTAACAAAGAAAGGAATGGATGGCTGGGTCTATGAGAGACTTGCACCATAGTTTTTAGTTACTGAAAAATGAATACAATCTATTATTAATACTAAAAACAACAACTACTGTTCAATCTCCAGTGACTTCAACTTCTGTAGGGGGCAGAGCCTCATATTGCAATATGCAAATAATTTCCTTATTTATCATTGTCTCTAAATGTAGATGTCAGAAAAATATACGTAATATGAACATAAATATTATGAAGACTGACTGTCCATGGGACTGGTTTTAAGCTTCTTCTACATGTCTCAATTTTTATAGGTTCCGGTTTCAGACCATCACCAGGGCTGATTATAGTAGTAACATAATTAGTAAACTACTTTTTATAGACCTACGATAACGGTCTACACTTTAAGCTCCGTTTTTAGCACTATACTGTTCAATTTTTTTTTTCATCATGTATACCGTAAAATTCCGAAAATAAGCCCCGGGGCTTTTATTTTTCAAAGGCCCTTTTTGAGGGGCTTATTTTTGGAGGGGCCTACATTCAGAGGGGCTTATGGCTGGAGGGAAATTTGCGTTATAAAATCGGTTGGGGTAGCTTGTAGTGGAAAGGAAATTTACCATTTTTGCTTGTTTTACCTTGTATTCGAGGGCAAATTCCAAGTGCAAGCCCCCCCCCCCCCCCGGGGGCTTATATTCGGAGGGGCGATTTAACGGATCGATCGAAGGGTTTTTGGCGTTACGATTTTGGGGGGCTTATATTTGGAGGGGCTTCTACATGGAGGGGCTTTTTTTCGGAATTTTATGGTAATTGTTACGGACCGAATCTGTAACACTACAATCCGTGGATTCGTAGAGATTGCCACTTTTTGGAAAAGGGAGGGTGTGAAAATTATTTTACTTAATGTAGTAATAATAAGGACCAGAATGGCTTCTCTAACAAAAGAAAAGTATTTTTAAGTTTTTTGGTTTGTGGGTGATGGTTATAGGCAGGGGAACATTTCTCTTACATCTAGGTTGTCCGGTCGATAATTGTTCAGTTTTTTTTATGTATAAAGATTGAATCGATATTCTGCTGATCTTCTCTGGCCTTCTCTCTTCTGATTAAAGCCAACTGAGTTGGTTCACGCTTGTAATTAGAATGCACAGTATGATGAGATACAAGACAATGCAATAAACATTATTAAGTCTCCCAAAAGGGATCCAAAGCAGCAACCATAGTAGAAAATTGCCATAAATTTAAAGAATCGTATTATAGTGTCATGAAAACAGCCCCCAAGAATGTTTTGCATTAGCCGCCAAAATATCCAGGACTGGTAAATTTTATTCCGGAATCGTATATTGAAACTGGTATCAAAGATGCGATTTCACCAACGGAACACGCATTTCCGTTTGGAACATTCCGTCCGGAAAAACAGGACTACCTTTCCGGATGTTCCCGGTTGGGGGAGTTTTCAAAATCAGTGGAAATGGGGTGTACCTTTTTCAAATGCAGTAGAATTTTGGGGAGGTACCCCTTTCTGAAAGAGAACAGTTTAAAGTTTATCTGCAATAACGGGTATTCCACATTCACATAAGATGTTGTAAAGTTCTCCCACACTCATAGCACGTTGATTTGTTATAAAATCTAAAAGGGCTTCAACTGGATTTTTGTGTCGCAAGTCAAGGAAACGTATTTCGTCTTGGTTCAAACCCAGTTTCTCAGCAACAAGCTTCCACTTATCGTCGACTGCAGCTGCAACATGAACAAAAAAAACATGAATTGGTATTGATTTATTTACTAGTTTCTTGATTTTTCAGTAACAAGGTAGCATACATATTCTTTGGATGAAAATATTCCCGGGCGATGGACTCCGCATATGAAAGGGGTGGGGATGCTCGTCGTCTAGCTAAGGGGTGTAAATTTCGGACTTGGTCTCACTTAGGGTGTTCTGGGCAAACCGCCATCATGTTTAGCCGTGAAGGTCTTGTTTAGGGGTTGCACGTGAAAAAACATAAAAATATATGTATTGTCTGTGTTTTAACATGGTCCCTTTTAGGGGTCAAAAAAGGCTTGGGCCACGCCCAGATCGGTCTCCTTTAGGGGTTTAATTCTAAATTTCCACGAGCATCCCCACCCCTTTCATATGCGGAGTCCCTTCCCGGGAAAATATTACGCTTTCAGATAATCCGAGATTAAGAGCTGTGCCGTGGGTACATTGATTTAAACCATTACCCTTCACTAGACCACATGCAGCTAAAATTTAACTTATGTCTACACTGCATGTGCAACCCGGCGACGGTATGGACCCTCCATCTTTGCCACTGTTATCTCCTCGGTCTAACCTAGATGTCGCCAATGGAGACGTGATTATGCCACGGATACTATGACATGAGAACTGTGAAGAGCGTTTAAAGTAATCTTCTAAAATTGTCTAAATCATACCGGTCAAGGACACGGTAAGCTGTCTTGCTTGGGTAAAAAGAACTGCTCTTACGTCAAGGGTTTCAGGTAACAGCGGACCTAAAATGAAACACGTATATACAATTCATTTTTTCCTAACTGAGAACATATTATCGAATCTAATTAAAGTTTACCCGAAAAATGAATAATTTGAACAAGGCCAAGAAATTAATTAAACAAAATTTTATTTTGGTGCGAGAATGTTCTCGGATTGCGTAACCGCAACATAATTCGAGGATCCTACCCCAAGGGTTGTAATTTCTCCTCCCTCCAATCTTCCTCAGTGATATTTGCTCGTCCCAAAACCAAGCCTGCATTGAAGGCTAGTTTAAACGGTAGAAGCTGCATGGCCAAGCGGTTACAACGCTGGACTTGTAATCCGGAGTCCAGTCCCGCCCTAACCGCCAGCTAGATTTGTTCTCCAGTTGGGATTCTAAATTGTGTTATGTTCCATTTGAATTTTCTTTCATTAGAGCGATTTTCGTCCGTGAAAAATGTTTTCGGGAAGTGTATGTTATTTATTTTATGACTTTATCAACCAAATTGGATGAAAAGATCAAAACATGGACTCTTCGTTTTCCTCCCAAAGAAAACCCTAATATGGAGAAGGCATTGTTCGATTGGCCAATCGTGTTGCAGTATGACGTCAAAGCGAAGTATCGTTTGATTTCTAGAAAGTTCTCGGGGCATGAAGTTTTCGTTCAGCCGAGCGCTGGCTCAACCAACCAAAAGCAGCGCGCGTTTATATCCGTTCGATAAACCAATCAAATCGCTCTATTTCCTTTCGTTTGTTTCTGTTTTGTTCGCTCTGTCCCGGAAAAGTCCCATAATGGGATTAGTTAATTGAGCATAATTGAGTATTTATTATTATCATTATTATCAACATCATCATCATCAACATTATTATTAAGAGCGATAAAAGTCAACAACGTTTTATGCAGTCTTTTTTCTCTTAACATAATTGACATTATTATCATAAAGCCAAATTTCCATTCATGAATTATAACTTCAAAACCTTTGCTGAGCAACAATACCTTCTCACTAGCAACATCTTTCTTTCACGCAACACAGGAATGCTGCAGAGAAAGCGCGCGAAATTGTTGATCGTCGCAGCTTAAATAAAAGGGATACAGCAGATGTTGGGTCTTAATAGAGTAATAGTAAGAATAGATAACATGAAAATGTTAATTACTCTCTATAGAAGGAAAGTGAAAGAAAAAATGAAAAAAAACAAAAACAAAAAACTGACGAGCAAAAGACGGACTCACCAGTAGTGCCAGCAGGTGTAATTTCTCTTAAGTATTTCACCACATCGAGTCTTTCTGAACGCCTAGCTTCTCTTGTCAAGGAGCGGATCCATTTCTTGGCCTCGTGGTTTGGTTTTTCGAGCGAGGCTTGATTCCATTCAAGGGTCTCCTGCAGTCGGTGAACAATTTGTTTGGCATCGTATACCTTGGACGTAAGATGGTCGAATACGTTGCTACGAACTGCAAGCGCTCTTTCTTTGTTTGCTAAAATTAAATTGTTTGAGAAATTGTTAGAAACATTGCGATAACGGGTTGAGATATACATATATATATTTTAAAGAAAGTGTGGAAGGAATTAGTTTTCTCTGTTGCTGATCTTCATAACCAGCTTGCGTTGACCAAATTTGGAATACTTTTGGGACATTTGGAAAAAGATGTCAATAGTACAAAATAATCGCGAGAAAAAGGGACGTCAACCGATAAGCCCTGAGGATGAGGTTGCGTTGGTTTGGTACAGAGAAAAAATTGCAGAACACTTAACACGTTCCGCAGGGAAGAAATAGCCGAACTCAGCCTAGTCCCTAGGCGTTCTCTCTTGCCCCGTTGTCCGCGCGAAGTCTACGTCACAGCTTACGGTAGAGTCCAGGATTGACCGAGCCGAGAACGCCTAGGGACTAGGCTGAGCCGAACTAGTACCTGAAAACCTTGCAAGAACAGAAAGAATACAACTCGACGGTTGACACCTGCTATTTGAAGAACAACCCTTAGTTATAATGCGAGGGACCGGAAATAAGTCCAGGACAACCGATTTGACAGTCATTTGACAGGCGCGTCAGAAAATGAGAGTGTTTGTTGGCTAACGATAACAATATCACAAAGGTTACGAAAGAAGTAAAAAATGCAAATAACCCATTGTTGAAAAAGTTTATTTGGTCAAACTTAAGAGCTCTGTAACTTTTAGCTCGCTAAATGTAATGTGAAATGTAATATGACGGGTTGACATTCCTGGGAATTCTTGATGGGGGTGTGCCGCCCGGTTCTCCAAATCCTGACCCTATTTTAGACCAAAAAATGTCATCTTTCCGATCCGTTTTCAGACCGGGCCTCTAGGAAAATACTTAGATAAGAACAGCAACAAGAAAGATTTCTTAAAAGCCTTTTTGAATTCGCACACTTCTCTTTCTTTCTTACGCTTTTGGAACTGAAACGACAATACATTCATACAGTCCTGTAGTTCCCTCGAAAACCATACCCGATTCCAGCCCAAAATGGGCAAAGTCTTTACCCGTTTTCAGACCAAAACAGCGCAAAAACCCTACCCTTTGGGGCGGCACATTACTAAATGGCTTTTATAAGGGAGTACCCCCTGGGCATTTCAAAGATTAGATGTGTTACAAACTTACGATTCATTCACATAACTGTTTGCACATTCATCTTACCTTCATCAGACGTAAGTGGGTCTTCGTCACATTCACTAATTGCGAGCAGTGGCTAATAAACACAAAATTAAAATAAAGTAAGCTACGTAATTCTTATTGGTTTACAAGTCTAATTTGTATGTGTAATCAAATGGTGACGAGTAAAATTTAAGAATAATTTCACGAGCGTGTTGTCCAAATAAAACGCAAGTGAAATTATTCCCTAATTTCACGAGTAAACCATTTCATGGATGACAAATTACGCTCACAATGTATAAATAAACACTATCATCAAATTTCGCGCCAAAAATGAAGAAGTAATTTGTCACCCATGATATTAATATTATAGCCAAACTTCACTGAAAAGTTGTCTGTTGTCAAATTAAAATTTGGTTTTTCCGCTCTTCTCTATCTGTATAATAGTCTTCCTGTAAAACTTATATTCCAACGTCTGTATTTTCACTATGACAGTTTGCAAAATTATACGATGGAACCTCGATATAACGAAGGGCCAAGGGATTGGCAAAATGAGTTCGTTATGACGAGGTTTCGTTAGATCGTGGTTCTTTTTCATAATTCTTTACTGAGGTAAAGAAAATCGTTCGTTATACCGATGACTTTTCTGTATAGGGGTTAGTTATATCTAGGTTTCACTGTATCACGGCAATATAATTGTGGTTCCGTATCACTCAAAAATAACTGAACATTAGCTAAACATTTGCGCATATGTTTTTTTTTCTTTTTAATATAACCTGGCAATATTTTCATGTAAAAAAAGTTCTGTTCATGACATCGTCTTTTGTGTTCCACGAAATCCTCTTTTGACAAGCACGTCTATTGATTTTGCAATTTTAGCTTTAGTTATTACTTTCAGGACTCCATAACGATATTATAGGCTCCCGTTATAGCGGTGATTAGCTCGAAAGCTAAGATCATCTGACCACCGTACACTTCCATTTAATCAAAGCCATCAATTTTTTTCTTCTCTTATTATTTGTTATTCTATTCCTACCTCACTATATATAATGTAATGAAGTACCAGAGAGATGTTCTTATCGACTATAAAAGTGTTCAATAGTTGAACTAGAGCAGAATACATTCAAGTAGACTGATGGAACTGGATTAAATCTTGAGCATTTATTGCTACTGAGATTTTCATGCCTCTTGCGAAGCAATCATCAGGCACTGACTGCCAAAAGTAACAGTTATAATCAAAGATATAGAAAAAACAGAAAAGTAAATACCAGGCGTGGCGCGTGGCGTATGGTGCGACAAAGTCTAATAATGAAATTAGGGCAGTGTTTAGTAGAAATTTCTTTGAGTGTCTGCAACCTGAGATTACTTCAAATTGCATTTCAGGTTGCAGACACTCAAAGAAATGTCTACTTAACACTGTCCTAATTTGATTATTAGATTTTGTCGCAAATTTGACATGACCTTTATAGGCATCACTGAATTAGCGGCATGACGCGCCACGTCCAGTATTTATTGTTCTGTTTTCCAGTATATCTTTGATTGTACCCGTTACTTTTGGCAGTTGCATGATCATTGCTTCCAAAGAGGTATGAGACTCTGAGTAGCATTAAATGTTCAATATTTACTCCAGTTCCATCATTATACTTATTTATGATGTAAATATTTATAATATATTTGTGAATAAAACTGAACCGTTAGGAAGAACCATTTGGAAGAACATCGTTAATTCTACCTCCTGGACGTCATCACCTTTCGTAAATTAAGTTGCATTCAAACTAACAAGTTTTAAGGTGGAGGTGGTAGCATAGTACAAGCGTCAAATCACAAATGACGAACTGGATGAGGCATTTTCAGAAAATCAGATTTAAAAAGCTCGGAATTATTGCACTAAAGTTAGTACCTGTTGTACTGAAGAAGGAAACCAAGGTGAAAACTGCATGACCTGCACTTTGGTGCTTCGAGCAACAGCAGACCTCGTGCAAGAGATGTTTTCCGTGTCACTGCATAACTGAGAAACTCTCCAGAAGTGGAGGCATTGTTCTTCATTGCATTTTTTTGCACGATGCGTTTGGCAGAGGGCAACTACCTTTCCCCTGGAACAGACGGGACAGATGACACACATCTCATATTTCATATTTCTCAGCCAGGGAAACTCATTTCGCATACTCTCCATCAGCAAACTTAGTTTCCTACACACCTCACGAGCAAACACTGCCTCATAACCGTCGGGTTGTAAATCTGCTAAAGTGCTAGGTTTCGGACATGAATCATCCTCAGAGTTGGAATTCCCTCCTTGAATAACAACCTCAACGGACGAGGAATGACATACAAGTATTACGGAGTAGACACCTCCAGAAGTGTAAAATCTGACAAAATCATGAAACAGCTGGGGTTTCTCTTGCGCCCAAAATCCATCTTTTCCCCATTGAAGGAACTGTGCGACCAGCCGGGGAAAGAAACCTGCGGGGACATGACCGTTTGAAAATTTAACAAACAGTGAAGGAATCTCAGCAGACTCAATAAGATCGTGAACCTCCTGTGGTGGATGAGACGTCAACATTGATGGGACAAGATATTCCTTGTTGCTCGAAGCATTGGAAAACCAAGGACACAGTAGGCTAAATCTCTCCATGATACCAATAAGACTTTCTGAGGTTTCTTTGTCCTTAAACAAAGGATCCCAAACGTGCGCCAAAAGTTGTTCATCAAGTATTCCCTCGCTCTCAAGCTTAGACCATAGCTCTAAAAATGTTTTCTCTTTAGGATCATACGGCCTGACGGTTATCACCTTCTTAAATACGTCAACTAACCACTGAGGGTCCAAGATGACAACTTTACTTAAATTCACATTGTCATCAAAATGAATAATACTTCTTAAGTCGTGCAAGTAGTT